GGTAAAATGTCTTGATTTAAGGGTCAAAATTAAGAATTTAAATTGCCATAAAACTAAACAATTAACTTCTGATACATTAAAAAAAAATTAGGTATTTGTTTTTGTTGTCAAAATTTGAATAATAAAAATTAATATCTAAAAATTAAAAATAAAAATATCAATTTATTATGTAGAAGTTTTTAAAATTAATAGTCAAATCATAAAAATTCTACAATTTATTAGTAAATTTTTTATTTTATTTTAGAATTATAAAAATTTTAAAACAAGAAAAAGGAGAAAGAGTGAAAGTAGGGGTATTTCATTTTAATTTCCTTTGCATTTTAATATATCTAAACGAAGGAGGGAGAGAAAAATAAAAGGATATTAACTCCGCTCCATCCCGTCCCCTAATCTCATCTCAAAGCAATTAAATCCTCCTAATAAGGAAATCAACATAAACAGAATGAGAACTCCAACAATAAGAAAGCTTTGACTTTTAATTAATACATGGTAGGCATAAATTGTACACAACCCAGCATGGAGGGTTCTGAACAGCATTTTATTTCTTGGAAGAAATATTACTATGATTTATTAATCAATTTATTTATTTTTTAATTTCTCTTATTATGACAGAAGAAAGGGTATAGCCCGCAGGGGTTCTGCTTTCTGTAATGTGATCCCAAACTTTTCGTCCATGTCCATGTTCTCAGGCGTGACACCATCTTCAAGCTTCCAATCAAAGCAGTTTATGAGAGAACCCAACATCAAATGCAACATTCTCATCGCCAGAGGCAATCCTGGGCATATCCGCCGCCCTCCACCAAACGGAATAAGTTCAAAGTCCCTGCCTTTGACATCTATTTCCGACTCCAAGAACCTCTCCGGCATAAAGCAGTTCGGCATCTCCCAAATACTAGGATCCCTGCCTATAGCCCAGGCATTCACCAGCACCTGTGCACCCTCTGGCACCGTAAAGCCACAGACTTCTGTGTCAGCCCCAGCTCTGCGTGGGAGCAACAGGGGAACTGCTGGGTGCAGCCGAGTGGTTTCTTTGATGATGGCTTGCAAGTACGGCAATCGAGAAATGTCAGATTCCTCAACCTGCTTTCCTTTGCCGATTGTCTCCGCCAATTCTCTTCTCGCTTTCAGTAATACATTTGGATTGCGGAGTAGCTCTGCCATTGCCCACTCTAACGTGCTAGTACTGGTATCAGTCCCAGCC